TGGCTGCTTTGTGACCCTTGAACCGCTCCCCCTCCTGGTGGGATTTGGAATAGCACTGCTCAGCCCCCCGTCACGTGGAGACTGGGATGCTTCTCACTGAGCCCGCAGTGCCCTGGTACTGGAAAAGCCCTACAGAGCTTACGTAACCATCCTCTACCCCCGGCAGGACAGCACCAAAGTCACAGCAGACAAAGAATCTCCCGTCTCCTCACCCAGGCCCCGCCACCAGGGCTCTAGAGCAGCTTGTGGACATCTTGGTCACTGTCCTTTGCTGTGTCAGAGGGGCAGGCATCACTACTGAGGTGCTATGAGAGCCGTTCAGAGCTGCAGCGCAGAGGGGCTGGAGCTGAAATTAGATGTATGGAAGCAAGGGGCACTCAGTTCCCTAAACGCGAGGCTTGTGTGTGCCATCAGTGGGGGCCAGCAGGTAGAGGGGAGCGGGGTGCCCGTGTGGTCAGAGTGCAGATCCCTGAAAGAGCACAAAGCTGGACACCAGAGCCAGATCTGCGGCCCAGCTCTGCCACTCACGAGCCCGTGTGACTCTGGGTAAGTCACGTGACCTCTCTGGGGCACCTGTTTCCTTAGTCTGAAAAGCGTTCTGTAATACCCATCATAATGACTTACTGGCATTTTGGTGCACATGTAAAAATCATATAATCAGTATCATCCTAGGGACTTGAAAGCCAGGGTTGAACCTGGCGGGACAGGAGGGCTCATCTACCTGCTTCCTGACGCAGTGTGTGCGGTGCTTCCACTCCACCTTCCCCATCCTCTGATTACTCTTAAGGGACAGAACAGGAAAGTGGGTGGGAGGGTCCACACGACCCCAGCAGGCCTGTGTTCTGATGTCATTGCAGATGGTGGAGAGCATGAAGTACCCCTTTCGGCAGGGCATGCGGCTGGAGGTGGTGGACAAGTCCCAGGTGTCACGGACCCGCATGGCTGTGGTGGACACGGTAATCGGGGGTCGCCTACGGCTTCTCTACGAGGATGGCGACAGCGATGATGACTTCTGGTGCCACATGTGGAGCCCCCTGATCCACCCAGTGGGTTGGTCAAGGCGTGTCGGCCATGGCATCAAGCTGTCAGGTTAGCAGAAGTCCCTGGCCAGCGAGGGCACATCTCTACACCCCACAACTATGCTGCACGGTAGAGGCGATCATCTCTACCATGCGGATGGCAGGACTTGACCAAGTATCCCGGGAGGTTGAGTGCCTTGACTGAGGATACTCAGGTTGAAGTGTTAAAAACTGGTTTGAAACTAGAGGCTATAGGCCACATCCTTTCCATGTGATGTGGGAAGAGTCTGGGTCCTAAGGGCTGAATAGTTCCTACAGAGACCTTCTGGTCTAGGGGGCACATTTCTGGGGGAGGCGTGGAGATGGCCCTGTTAGCAGCTTCACCTTCCTTTTCTCCCTTCCTCCCTCTGCCATTTCCCTAAAAGAGAGGCGCAGCGACATGGCCCACCATCCCACTTTCCGGAAGATCTACTGTGATGCTGTTCCTTATCTGTTCAAGAAGGTGAGGCACAGCCCTTGGGCACTGTCCCCTTGGCCACAGGTCTACTCCAGGCCTGCGGACCCCAGCTCTTCCCTGGGATGTCCCTTTCCCTCCCCACTTCCTTCCCAGGCCGATGGCAGATGAGGCCTGCTTTCCCACCTTCCCTGGGCCAGCCCGGAGATTCCCCAAGTGCCCCGTTCCTTTAAGGTTCGAGCTGTCTACACGGAAGGCGGTTGGTTTGAGGAGGGGATGAAACTGGAAGCCATTGACCCCTTGAATCTGGGCAACATCTGCGTGGCAACCATCTGCAAGGTGAGCCTGGGGGAGCCTCCAGTATGGCTTTCTGCGGGCATGGAGGTGGCAGAGCTTCCCAGTTCTCGCTGCTCCTGGGCTACCTGCTTTCATGTCAGGGTCAGAATCTGCTTTCGTGTCAGGGTCAGAGGTGCGTTGGACAGGTGCTTACTGAACACCTGGCCTGAGCCTGTCCTGGGTCAGGTGTAGGTTTCCCTGCTGCCACATGCCATCTCCTTTGAGTGCTGACCTAGCCAAGCCATAGCCGGGCTGACTTCACTGCAAACCTCTGTTATTGCTGCAGCCTGAAGAGCCAACAGCCACCCTTCGGCCCTCCAGGGGGTTTTGCCAATTTATCCATCCAGCAGATCTCCAGGCTGGGCCCGTGTGTCCACTGAGAACACACTGACAGGAAGACAGATGCAGTTCCTGCGGGCACAGCATCTGCTATCTAGTGAGGAGGCTAAATGATCTCACGAGTGGGGGTTACACCAGTGCTGAGTGCTCTGAAGCAGCTCGGGGAAGGCTGAGAACCAGCTCTGGTTGGATCCATCCACCTTGCATCCCCATCGTATCACCTCACCCTGGGATGGGGGTGCAGTTCAGCATACCATGTTCTGTCTGCCCTCCTCCCCTCCACCTGCTAGGTCCTCCTGGATGGCTACCTGATGATCTGTGTGGACGGGGGGCCCTCCACAGATGGCTCAGACTGGTTCTGTTATCATGCCTCTTCCCACGCCATCTTCCCAGCCACCTTCTGCCAGAAGAATGACATTGAGCTCACACCCCCAAAAGGCAAGACGCGCCTTACAGTTGGGAGGAGCAGGGTGGGGCCACTGGCCCCAATTCCTGGCCAAGCCAGACCCCTGGAGTTTGAAGTCTGTGAGTGGATTGGAGAGGTGACAGAGCTACCCAGGGTCACCACTAGCCCATACTCTGGGCTGGCTCGGCCCCATGGCCGGTATGTGGCTCGGTGAGCAGAGCTCCCACTTGTCCCTTTGGTCAGTGAACAACTTGTACAACAGGACCATGGTCCTAGAGCAGGTACCAGCCTGGGGAGGAGGGAAGAAGGCTGCTGGGGAGACTCCGGGGGGGTCCTGACTGAGCTGCAGGTGCCCCTTTGGCGCTGGGAGAGCTTCCGGGACTCCCTCCCGCTTCCCTTCCCCCCTCCTCACCTACACTTTCCACTCCTACAGGGTATGAGGCTCACACTTTCAGCTGGGAGACCTACTTGGAGAAGACCAAGGCGAAAGCAGCTCCATCAAGACTCTTCAACACGGTGAGGAGACCAATCCTGCCCACTGCCAGCGATGGCAATCCCAACCCCTTCTCTTTTCTTGAGTCTTTGCTACTGAGGTCCGCCACTTCAGGGGAGAAGTCCCAAACTCTGACATGGGCGCTGTGCTGAACAGTTCAGCTGGTCCCTTTCCCAAAAGGGCCAGTGCCTGGGAACAAAATGCAGTGGGATCACTGGTCAGAGGAACCTCCCCCCGCAGGCATGCTCAGCCCTGCTCCCTCCCCCAGGTCTGCCCCGCTGGGGCAGGGCCCTGGCTGGCTTGGTCATTGCCTTTGTTCCCCCTCCCAGGACTGCCCCAACCATGGTTTCAAGGTGGGCATGAAGCTGGAGGCCGTGGACCTCATGGAGCCCCGGCTCATCTGTGTGGCCACTGTGAAGCGGGTGGTGCACCGTCTCCTCAGCATCCACTTTGATGGCTGGGACAGCGAGTATGACCAGTGGGTAGACTGTGAGTCCCCGGACATCTACCCCGTCGGCTGGTGTGAGCTCACCGGCTACCAGCTCCAGCCGCCCGTGGCCACAGGTCTGGGCTCTCGCAGCCCTAAGGGGCTCTTGACTTTCCTCTTCTTCTTCCTTCCTGCCAACCACGCCCCCGCCCCACACCCACCTCATTCTTTGGCATGAGATCGAGAATCTCCTGGACCACTTCTAAGAAAAGAGTGGCCCATTGTCTCCCTCCCTGTCCTGACTTCTCTGTCTCCCTCTCCCTCTGGCCTGCAGAGCTCCTTCCTTGACCTTGCCCACTCTGTCATATGCTCGTGCCCTTGTGCACCCAGGTAAACTCCCTAGGTCCCTCCGAGAGCCCTGGTGATGAGGGTGGGAAGAAGGGACAGCTGTTGTCCAGTCCCTCTCTGCAGCCCCCTCCCCGTTCTCATTGCCCAGCTTTGGCTTTCCTTCTGGGGGTGTCCCCTGTGTCAGGGAGGCCGGTGAGGGGCGGACAGGAATCTTGGGGTGTGCCTACAGCCTGTGTCCTCTCAGAACTCTCTCCTCACCTCTTCTCCATACTTTCAACAACAGAGCCTACCACGCCTCTGAAAGCCAAAGAGGCCACAAAGAAGAAAAAGAAACAGTTTGGGAAGAAAAGTAAGTGATGCTCTAAAGCTACCTGGGATCAGCTGAGCCTGTGTCCCTGGGAGTGGAGGTGGGGTGTCGCCACCTAAGTCGCGCTCTTCATGGTCCCGCCCTCTCCTTCACCCCTTGCCCCACGGGCCCAGCCATCAATCACCCTGTGTCTTCAGGGACCCAGAGCGTAAGTCTTCCATCTCTGGCAATGGTCAGGATACCGAGGAAAAGAGACGAGACTATTTGGGGTGTAGGGAGGCCATGTGTAGAGGCCATGCTTGAAAGTAAAAGGTACCAAAGGAAACGGGTGCAAGTTGCTCCCTGAGGCTGTCGTCGTTCCCTCATGACCCCCAGGGAGTGGGAGGAAGGGCGGCCACTGATCTTGGGGACCTCTCCACAGACAGGCCCATTCTCAGCAGGCCCCAAGCTGAGCTGCAGGCCAGTGCGGTGAGGTGGGCTTCCTGACGTGGTATCATGCAGAGGAGAGGATGTCCTGAAGGGAACAGAGAGGAAACAGTGTGGTCCCGAGGCAGGATTAAGATGCTGTGAGGGTGTGGAGGCGACCAAGTGGTAGGACCCTGTGCCGTTCAAAATGTAGGGCTGGGATTCACACTTCAGACATGAAGAAAGCGAGGATCCGAAAAGGGAAGCTTAACCATGGCGGCGAGTCGGGGGAGGTGGGTGTCAGTCCCTTGCTGGAGGCAGCCTCTGAGCCGCAGGCACACAGCCCTGGGGGCTGAGGTCAGAGTTGGGGCCTCTGTCCTCCCAAACTGGCACTTTCCCCTCTGCTGTGCTGCCTGACCACTGGGCAAGACCCAGCCTTCGTGCGTCACGTGGATGCATCCCTATCCCGGATTTAATCGTGTGTTTATTCAAAGGAAAAAGAATACCACCAACCAAGACCCGGCCCCTCAGACAGGGGTCCAAGAAGCCCCTGCTGGAGGACGACCTGCAGGCGGCAGAGAAGATCTCGTCGGAGCCCGTTCCTGATGAGAGTAAGAGCCTCCCACGCGGGGTCGAGGTTGGGGGCGGCTCCGGTGCTCAGAGGCCGACCCCCTCCTTCCCCACCTGGGCACAGAAGAGTAGAGTCAAGTTTGAAGGGAAGTTTCTGGGTACCAAGCAACCCTTCTCAGACCACTGGGCCTGGAGGGCTTCCCAAACACCCACCCCCAGCTCTGAATGGAGCCAAGCGTCTCGCATGGCCCTCTCCACCTCATGTGCTTGGCAGGGTGGGCAGCCTGCCCGGCTGGGGTGACGGGACCCTAGGCCTTCTGTGCTGCCTGCCCCCACAGAGGGGGAAGGGGCTCCCCTTGCCGTGTCCTGAGGGCCCGTCCGTAGGAAGCCTGATTTCTTCCCCAGATCCTGAGGCCGCGCCCTTCCCGGAGTTACAGGCACACTCTCTTCTCCCTGCCCCCCACCTCTCTTCCTCCTCAGTCATTACCGTGCGTGTAAAGGAAGAGCATCTCGACGTGGCCACGCCTGACAAGGCCCCGAGTCCAGAGCTGCCCGTTCCCATCGAGAACATCAAACAGGAGACAGGTGACTGAGACTTCCTCGTTGCCTGCCCAGCCACCCAGCTGGCAGCCAGCCCAGGGCGCCTCGACTGCCACCACCCCTCCACCCCACTTTCCTCTGGAGACTGAGCCTTTCTGCGTGAGCGCTGCCTGGTGCTGTGGGCGCTGGGCAGCGAACGAACACCCAGGGTCTCCCGGACCCGCCCTGTTGCCTCTGCCCCCTCCCGGGCAAGGCCGGCGTGACTAGGGCTGCTGAGACCCACAGACTCGCCTGTGAGCAGCTCCCTCTCCAGCTGGAGTTCCCGAAGCTCTTCCTTACCAGCGTCCATCCACGCCCACCATGTCCCTCAACTGCCAGGGGTGAGGGGCCGCACACTGGAGGACAAGTTGCTTGGTGGGGGGGGGGGGGGTGAGCTCAGCGCACGCGCGCGCCTCTGTGTGTGTATGAGCACATTCAGCGTGTGTGTGTATGTGTGTTCGAGCACACACATCCCCTGAGAGGGAGGCTGCCACCAGCATTGAACTTAACCCGCTCTGGAGCCCAGGGGGGCTAGGACCTGTCCTTTTCATTCTCCTGTTAACCAGAGACGGGTCTGGCCCTGCCAGAAAGTCACAGGGCCGCGATAGAGTTGGGTGGTCAGCCCTGCTGGCTGAGGTGGCCCTGGAGGAGCTCCTGGAGGAAGGAACACACTTCCTGGCTCGTTTTCCTCACTGTTAGTGTCCTTAACTCCGTAACATGTTTTGAATCCCCTTCTCTCTAAAGTACCTTCTAGAAGTTCATCTAACATCTGCCCAAATTTCAGCTGCTTTCTTTCCCCCAGTTAGTCTCCTTTGAAACTGTCTCCTCCCTCTGATCCATCCTCTCTTCAAGAGACCCTCTTCCTGGAACCTAAGGTGATGGCAGGTGCTGTCCTCAGCCCTTTTCTTTCCTTCTACATGTTTGGGTAGTGACGGCACGGCAGTGTGGGTCCCTGTGTCACCCCTTTAAGGGCTGCAGCTGTGCCGGGCGGGTATCTGGCTTCCTGGACTGTCAGGTGCTTGTCAGATGGGGTGCTGACCGTGGATGTGCTCAGGACCCAGCTGTTGGGTGTCATCCCAGAGATGGGGTGACCAGCCCAAGGGGAGCTGATTTCCTGTCAATTCAAAGAGAACTTGATCCTTTCTCCTTTTCTAAAGACACTCTGCAGGCCCACATGGTATAGAAACCAGGCCCAGAAAGCACCCTCCTGCAGCCTGAGTTCCCCAAAACATGACTAGGTGTGTGTGGAACACAGTGACGACCAAGGACGGGGCAGGTCCCAGGAAAGAGGGACCATGCCTGACCCCACCCCCATTTCACACACACCAGACTTGAGTGGTGATGGGTCAGTCAGTGGCATCAGCTCCCAGGGGAGGAAGGTGGCATGTGTGTGCACTTCAGCTCTGCCTTTGTTGAGGGTAAACTGCTCAGCTGAGACTAATTCATCGTCCCCGATGCTCTTGCCGTTAATGGATCCAGTTCTGACTGAAGAGCTTCTAGGAAAACAGGACTTGTATGGCATTTTGGCCTTCGGTTGCTTCTTCCTGAATGGAGAGGTGAAGCCTACAGGTGCCGTGAGCACAACAGGCAGAGCTGGAGGGCACGATTAGCTGCCGTTGCGGCCCTGGACTGGCCTCCCATACTTAACTTGCATGAGACAATTGAATCCCTTTCTTGCTGAAGTCCAATTTGTCAGCGTTCTGTTCTTAGAGCGAGAGTGCGTTCTGATATGCCACCCGACGGTGTCAATTATGAAAACTGGGTGAGTTCACACATGAAGAGTGCAGAACACAAGTGTCATCTGTCATCTCCGGAGCTCCCCGTCTCCATAGCAACAACATGCTATATTCTCCTTATTTATGTTTCAGCCATTCCCCTCCCAAAACCACAGGTTCCAGAAAGCCCAAGTATGTGACAAAGTGTACATAACGTGTTGCTGGGACCTAGAGGTTAATTTGTTACAGATGGAAGTGTTGACCTCTGGGACATAATAGCTCAAGGCACAGAATGAACCTTGTTCCTCAATTGCCCTTGGATGGAACCAGGTCTCGAAGTCTCACAGCAGCAGGGCCACCTGATGGCTGGGAAATATCCTAAAGAACAGAACCACTTCCACTCCCTGCTCCCACTGCTTGACAGCCTGCAGCAGCTCCCTGGTGCAGATTAGGCCACGTGCAAACACCTTCCTTTACTATCACCCCCATCTGGATCCTCAGCTCTGCTTGAGGGACGGGAAGCAAGGGCACTACCATTTGTGATAGCCTCATATGACAGGCACTAGTGTACAGGCGTTCACACGGCTCGCTTCATCTTCACAGTAATCCCGTGAGGACGCGCTGACTCATTTTATGCATAAGAGACAGAGGACTCGTTAAAGTTCAGTAACTTGGTGGCTTGACAACTGTTAAATGACAGCAGTGGGAGCAAGCCCAGGCTCGTCTGCCAGGTGCCTTCGGCCAGGCAAGTCCCCCAGCCCAGAACACCCTGCCAGGGCTCAGGGCCCTTATCCTTCTTCGATGTCTTGGTATTCCTGGGAGGAAGCTGCCACCTTCAACAAAGTAAAAACAAAAAGCCTGTTTGGTGGCGTATCTCCGTGTCAGAAAGGGTGGTTGGATGGGGTGGCCCGCGAGGCCCCATTCCTGTTGCAGCTACGAAATGTGGGATTGGCGTGCGGGTCTTTCAATGAGAGTCCAGACCTGGAGGTGAACCTGTCGGGGCTGCTGCTCCCGAGTCAAGCTCAGCATCCACGCCGGTTCTGTTCATCACAACTCCCGGCAGAAAGCGCCGCCCAAGTGTTCGCCGAGTATGGCCGCCGTCATCGACCCTGGTTCCAGGTCTCGCTTCTAAGGCCGAATGCTCACCTTCAGCCTGGGGTCTTTTTAGGGGTTCTTCCTCACTCCCAGCCGACCTCCACAACGAACACTGTTTCGGGTTGAATTAAGTCCCCACGAAAAAGATACACCTCAGAATAAGGCCTTATTTCGAAATAGGGTCTTCACAGAGGTGATCCAGTTAAAATGAGGTCATTAGGGTGGGCCCTGATCTAATGACTCGTGTCCTCATAAAAAGGGGGAATTTGGACACGTCCAGCAGGAAGACGATGTGCAGAGACACGGGAAGACATCATGTGACGGTGGAGGCAGGGACGGGGCTTGTGCTGCCACAGCCAAGGAACATCTGGGGCCCGCGGAGGCTGGACGGGGCACAGAAGGACCCTCGCCTCGAGGCCTCAGAGGAAGCACAGCCCCGCCAGCACTCTGATTCCAGGCTTCTAACCTCCACATCAGTGAGACAATACATTTCTGTGGTTCTGAGCCACCCAGCTTGTGGTAGTTTGTGGTACTGCAGCCCTAGGGAGCTAATACAAACACCACCTGATGGTCCCTAGGTGCCCCAACTCTTCAAGCTGCAGGTCCAGAAGCAGGCAGAGCCCTCTCCCCTCCTTCCCAGAGCCCACCCTGTTCTGGTCACGGCTTTCCTCTAAGGTCTGCCTCCCCTACATCCCCTCACCACCCAGCACGGGTCGCCACGTGGAGGGGTGCCCATGTCCTGCCCACTCTTCTCTGATGACCTGTGAGATTTTGCTACAACTGAGCGTTCCAGTGTGAATGGGTTTGTCCGGACAGCAAACGTAACGTCAAGGGGGTGATGGAGTCCGACCCGTGGCACCAACCACACACCTGCACTCCTGCTCTTCCCGCCCCAGGGATGAGCGAGGCCCCCAAGATCAGGTGGGGACAGGCTGAATCAATGGCAATCCAGCAGTAACAGTCACTGTGGGGTTCTCATGGATACCTAGGGTCCTGGGATGCTGCAGCTTAATTGGAAAGGCCATTGTCCCATGGGATGAAACAGTCATTTCCTTACAAACCCACTCTGGGCTTAGCCCAGAGGTGGAGGAGGTAAGGAGAGGGGGATAGACATTTTTTAACGGAAGCAACAGGGTCATTACCCAGATCTAGAACCTCATGAAATTGGGACCAAGACAAGTCAGATCCCTGCTACCCCAGGGGCTTTAAAACCTGACCCACCCAGCGAGGCCTCCCTGCACCTGCCCCCAACCAACCTTGTTCGCTCCCTGCCGTCTTCCCTTCATGGGGGTCCTCTGGGCACTAGGCCTGGGGGCCGGCGTCCGCTTGGCCTTCCCGGCAGCCCAGCCCGGGCAGGCTTCAAAGACAGCAGCTGCAGCCTTCACGCTCTGGCCACGGGCACTGGGAGGGGCGGCACAGGCGGCCCCCACGTGCAGGTTCAGCCCAGTGAGCCACCTGAGGAGAAAAGGGGGTTCGGGGAAGCTGCTGTGCTGAGCTTTCCTGAGGAGAGCGAAGAGGTCCTCAGTGATGTGGGGGCAGTGGGACTCGACCACTCACCAATTATGTGACCCTGAGCAAGTCATTTCAACCTTCAATCCCCTCCCTGTAACAGGGGACCAGTAATAAACAGTTCCAGAGGGCTGAAGACCCAGACGCTGTTCAATCTAGATAAGCTATCTAATTTAATGTAATTCTTACGACCACCACCAGGAGGTGGATGCAATCGCTATCATCCCCTTTCCAGATGAGGGGCCGGCACAGAGAGGCCACATGGCTCAAAGGTAAAATGGTCAGTCACAGACGTGGATTTGAGCCCACGTCACCAGACTCCACGGTTCTTGTTGCTTTCTTAGGCAATGACGTAAAGTGCTCTCACACATTTACTAGGTCCCACCCCACTAGGCTGGGCAGATTTCATTCCCACTTTATAGATGAGGGAACAGGGGCTCAGAGAAGCCCACCCAAGCCCCGTGGATGTCTGGCTCCCCCAGGAAGGGTAGCTGGCCCTGGAAGGATCCTCGCCCGCCAAAGGAGCTCAGATGGCACCAGGGCTTGACTGAGAGCAGCTGCTGGGTCCCCAGCTGGGGCCTTCAGTTGGGGGTGCTTACCTGTGAAGTGGGAGCAGCTGGCAGTCACAGTGGAAGGGATTGCCACTGAGGTCGATGAGCTCAAGCTGGCTGAGACCAGGCAGGGCGGGCAGTGCCTGCAGCTGGTTCTTTTGCAGATGTAGGCTCTGGAGCCGAGGCCCCAGGCCCAAGAAGGCCCCCGGAGAAATCTGCAAGAAGGCGCCAGGCCCTGGTGTGAGCTCCTGCCAGGCCTGTCCCACCCCCAGGTCTGGGAGGGAGCCTCATGCTCCCCGTGCAGAAGGGGAGTAGAGAGCCCAAGATGGGCAGGAAGGGCAGTGCTGGGGTGGAAACCCAGGTTTTGCCAAAGCACGTGCCCTTTGCAAGTCACACAGACCCCCAGTCCATGGTTCTTTCTGCTATGCCTGGACCCCCACATATTGGCAAAGCTGTGCCCACAAAATGTGCAACAGTAGGTAACCCCACGGATCCACGTTCCTCCCTCCTCCAGGCCTCGGCAGTGCCCTCCCTGCCAAGCCCCTCCGTGTGGCACAGCATTCCTCCTGGTCTGCGGCCCACATCTGAGCTCCCTGGGGCAGGCGCAGGGTCGGGCTCATCTCAGGGACCCCACGCCCAGCCTCGGGCCTGGCACTGCAGGGGCGGCAGTGTTGGTTGAGTGAACGCAAGCTGCGTAGACCCTCGTGCTGCCTCCCCTCACCCCTGTTCCCCGGGTGCCCACCTGCTCCAGGCCACTGCTGTTCAGGAAAAGGTGTTGCAGCGAGCGGCCCACGGGCCAGAAGGCCCCATCTTGCAGGGCCCTGAGCGGGTTCCCCGAGAGCTGCAGCTCCAGGAGGGCAGGCAGCCCCTCCAGGGCCGCAGTGGGCACCTCTCGCAGCTGGTTCCTATCCAGATGCAGCTTCTCCAGCTCCTGAGTGGGGCCCAGTGCCCCGGGGGACACTTGGGTGATGCGGTTCCCACTCAGGTAGAGCCAGCGCAAGGCCCGCATGCCTGCCAGGTCCCCCAGTGCCAGGCGGTCCAGAGCGTTGTCCTGCAAGTGCAGGGAGAAGAGGCTGGGCAGGGCGCGCAGGGCGGCCCCTGGCACCTGCAGGAAGCGGTTGCGCTCCAGGTACAGGTAGCCCAGGCAGGGCGCCCCTTTGAGGGAGGCAGCGCTGAGGCTGGAGAGCGTGTTGTCCGAGAGGTAGAGGTAGAGCAGGCTGCCCAGCCCCGCCAGGGCGCCTGCTTCCAGCTCTGTGATGCCGCAGTGCTGCAGGTGCAGCGACACCAGCTGGCCCAGGCCCGGGAAGGCCTCTCGGGGCACCAAGGGGAAGTGGTTCTGCCTCAGGTCCAGGAGCTGGGTGTCGTTGGGGAAGCCGCGGGGCACGACCTGCAGGCCGCGGCCCTCACAGCCGCTGTGCCGGGACTCAGGGGCGCACACGCAGGCGCGAGGGCAGGGCCCGGGCGCCCCAGCCTTCTCCTTGGAGGTGCCGGCAGGGACACGGGGCCGCGCGGCCGCCACCTCCTCCTCTTCCTCCTCCGCCCCGGCTACGGGGCAGCGCAGGTCCGAGGGCCGCAGGGCGTCCAGGGCCTCGCCGCGCAGGCGCCGCGGCTCCCCGCACGCGCCGTCCGAGCGCACGCGCGCACGCGCCAGCCACTGGAGCAGGGGCCGAGCCCGGCAGTCGCACCGCAGCGGGTTCCCATGCAGCCGCAGCCGGCGCAGCTGACCCGGGCCCTGCAGCGGCTGCAGGGCATCCAGCTGGTTCCCACGGAGGTCCAGGGTGTGCAGGCGGGGGCAGTGGGCAAAGGCCCTGGGGTCCAGGGCCTGCAGGGCCCCGTGGTCCAGCCTCAACTCCCGCAGGCCGGGCAGCACCAGCCCGTCCTCCTCGCCCGTGTAGGTGAAGGGGTTGTGGCCCAGCTCGAGGCGGGCCAGGCCGCGGGCCTGGGACAAGGTCGCCCCGGGCAGGGACTGCAGCTCATTGTGGTGCAGGCTGAGGCGGCGCAGGGCGGGCAGGCCGGCCAGGGCCTCGGGGGCCAGCACGCTCAGCGCGTTGTGGGACAGCTGCAGCCAGCGGGCGCGCACCAGCCCCTGGAAGGCCATGGCGGGCAGGTAGACGAGGGTGTTGTGGGCCAGATTCAGCGTGGCCAGCGCGCCCAGCGCCCCGAACGTCCCCGGCCGCAGCTCCTCCAGCAGGTTCCCCTCCAGCTCCAGCCGCCGCAGTGAGCCTAGCCCGTCCAGCGCCTCCTGGGGCAGCGCGTTCAGGCGGTTGGAGGCCAGGTTGAGGAGGAGCAGGCGGCCCAGGCCTCGGAAGGCACCCTCGGCCACCAGCTCCACCTGGCAGTGCCGCAGGTCCAGGTGTGTCAGGTAAGGCAGGTCCCGGAAGGCAGCTGCGGGGATCAGCTTCAGCATGTTGCCCTGGAGGTCCAGCCGCTGGGTCAGCTGAGCAGGGAGAGGTAGGGGAGGCTGAGCAGCACCAGGACCACGGCCTTTGCCCCTTGCTTACCCTGGCCTTTGCACGTGCTGTTCCCTCACCTGGAACACTCTCTTCCCCCTCACGTTTCCTTCATTCTCTTCATCCTGCTCCCTGACACCTCCTCCTGGAAGCCTTCCTCCCCAGCCGCCTGGGTATCCCCTAGTCTAGCACTTTTCACATTGAATTGTCACTGCCCCTTTACTTTCACTCTTTTCCTCTAGCTCTTGACTCCATAGGACAGAGACCATACCTTAGTCCAGTATATCCCCAGTTCTCTGCTCACAGGGCCTGTAATTAACTCAATGCTGTATCTATATAGGTCACCTAACTTGTTCCAATTGCATAGCATCTTAAATAGATTGTCTCCCTGTTGTTGGTTATTATCATTCCCATTTTACAGATGTGAAGACTGAGGCTCAGAGAGGAAAAGTGACTTGCCAAGGCCTCCCAGCCCGGCAATGGCAGATCCACTGGTGCCAGCCCGGGCTCCTCCTGCTGTCACCCCCACCACCCCATCTTGCCCTGCTGACCTCAGGGATGGCATTCGGCACCTCGGTGAGGTTCTGGTGCCGGCAGGCCACATGCCGCCTGGAATTGTCGCAGACGCAGGTCTGTGGGCAGCGCTGGGCAGCTGCATGCCACGTTGGCCCCAGCGGCAGCAGCAGCAGAAGCAGCAGCACCACGGAGACACTCTGGGGCCTGGCAGAGAGAAGAAGGGTCAGGTGTTCACAGGAGCAAGGGTCCCACACTGTCCACTCACTGAGCCCCAGCTCTTGTCCCAGAGCCCCTCAGATGTCTTCCTCCTTTGGCCTCAGGGAAGCTGTCATTACCCTGAGCCTCCAACCCCTCCCCAGAGCATAGATTGCATTGTTATCCCTGTTTTATACCAGAGGAAACAAGCTCAGAAAGGCAACCCGGCAAGTCCCTTTGATTGTCTGCCAGTGGCTCAGTGAGGCCTTGCCGAATGCAGTTCAGAGGTGTGCCCAGGCTGTGCAGAAGCCCCCGGGCCCAGGGGGAGTCGTGTCCTCCCAGGGTGAGGTTGGCGGTGGAGAGAGAATCAGCCGTTCCTCAGACGGAAGTGGCATCAGCACCGTGGTGGCAGGGAGCGTAATGGCACCCACCTCGAGAAGACAGCCTGGCAGCCGGAGGGGAGGACCCAGGGCTGGCACGACTTGGGAGACCAGGTGTCGTGGGATCCGAAAGCCCTGAGGAGCCTTAATGGCTGGTCAGAGCCACTCTGACAGGCAAGCAAGGGGCTCCAACTTCTCTCCCTGTTTATTCGTCTGTTGTCCTCTCTTCATCTTAGTGCCACCCTGCTGGCCTGGCCTGGGATGGGGGGAACTGCGGGTATGGCCTTGGGGCTGTGCTTTGGGCAAGGTCTGTCCACTTTCCTGTCTGTCCATCCACTCCCCATCTACCCAATACCCAGCTGGACCCCTTTACCTCACAACTACCGCCTGCCTCTCCACAGGGAGGCCCGCGCCACGGTGGCACTCCTGGCTTCCCCACTTCCGCTCAAAGGGAACCAACCAAAGGGAACTTTCCAAGGTACAGACGGGCCCTGACACCCCCAGCTGAAAACCCGCCAGCCTCTCCTCAATGCCTTTGCTGGGAAATCCTGACTCCTGATTCCCCAACTGGTACCCGCTCAGACCCTTCAGTGGCACCCCGGGCTCCCCCACCATCAGCACGCAAAGCAGCTCCCTCCTCTCTGCCTCACCAGCTTTTCCCTCTATCCTCAGCTCTCTGAGCAACCCTTCCTGATCCCTGGGCTGACTCCCACCCTGAGCCTCCCGTGTTTCCACTCACTGGGTTGGCTGTCACCATGCGGTTTTCAGTTTCCTTGGGGTCCCAGGGTCCAGCCCGGCCTTGGGGCTGGTGGCATCCTGTAGAGCTGTAGTGAGGCTGAGGCTCAGGGCAGGTCGGGGGTGTGGGGACAGATCCCTGAAGGACAAGCGTCCAGGCCTCAGGCCTGCCTAGCGCTCCGACAGGCTCCTGGAGGACTAGCCCAGGGGAGCTCCTGGGAGCGGCCACGTTCACCGTCTTCCTCGGAACCCATTTCAGAGAGACCCTTGGAGAATCTCTGCCCTGGGAGATCCCAGAGCCCCTGTCCCCCAGCCCCTGAGAGGCCCAGAGAGGGGCAGGGGTTTGCCTGTAGGCACTCAGCTTCTCTAACCCACCTTGCCACCGCAGGGCCCAAAGACTCACCCCGCCATGCCGATCGCACGGCCAGTCCAGCCTGGAAATGCAGCACAGGGGAAGGCTGGCAACGGTCCCTGCCTGGACGCCAGCGGGAGCCCCCCTCCCAGCCCGCAGACCTGGCAGCGGGGACAGGGCTGAATGGGAGGCATTGTGAGGTGAGTGAGGGGCGGGCATGGCAGGAGCAGCGGCTGAAGTTGCAGGGCTTCTTGCTCAGAATCCTGGCCCAGGCCTGAGACCCGAGTTCCTGGACCGGCCGAGCAGGGAGGGGCCTCAAGGGGCTGGCCAGTGGGTCCCAGACCTAGGCTTCCTCCGGCTGTGTCCCTGGGCAGGGCTGCACCTCACCGAGCCTCAGTTTCCTACTCTGTGAAAAAACAGAGTATCAGTAACTAGCTCATAGGGTTGCTCTGGGGGTTAAGGTAGGCACCTGGCACATAGTAGGTGCTCAAGAACAGTTAACTCTGCCCTGTTTTGTGCTTATAATACATTTACATACATTGTTTAGCACTGTACATAAATTCTTCTGTAAATTTGTTTTTTTTCACTCAACATCAGGGAACTATCTAAATTGATTCTTCTTAGTTATATTCATTCATTTTGACTTGTATAGTATTCCACTGTATAAGTGTATCAACTTATTCATTAATCTTGGACGTTTAGGTTGCATCCAATTTTTTGTTATTACAGTGTTGCAAAGAATACCTAAATACTTATCTTCCTGGGGACATGTGCATTTTTTAAAAAAATGAAATAGTTCATCTAGACCATAGCAATGTATGCTATGATTTTTCAGATCCTATGATACTTTAGATCTGTGTTTCTGGTGGAAATGCAGCTTTCATTACTGTTTTTTGGCTTTAAAAACAAAAAACAAACAAGAAATAGTGTCACACCACACACAGACTTTTTATTAACATTTATTTGGCTGCGCCAGGTCCTAGTTTCGGCATGTGGGATCTAGTTCCCTGACCAGGGATCAAACCTAGGCCCCCTGTATTGGGAACGCGGAGTCTTAACCACTGGACCACCAGGGAAGTCCTCACACACAGACTTCTGCATGTGCTTTATTTCACTCAGCAAATTCTATCAACAGTATTGCAGTGTGCATCCTTTTTTTTACCCCCCATATTTGTTTATTTATTTGGCTGTGTCGGGTCTTTGTTGCGGCACACGGGATCTTCGTTGCAGCACGTGGTCTTCCGTCTAGTTGCGGCCCGCGAGTGCTCAGTAGTTGCGGCATGCGGGCTTAGTTGCCCCGAGGCATGTGGGATCTTAGTTCCCTGACCAGGGATCGAACCCTGCGTCCCCTGCATTGGAAGGTGGATTCTTAACCACTGGACCACCAGGGAAGTCCCCAGTGTTTATCTTTTTATGTCTGGCTTTTTTTTTTTTTTTGGCTTTGTTGGGTCTTCGTTGCTGCGCGCGGGCTTTCTCTAGTTGCAGCGAGCGGGGGCTACTCTTCGTTGCAGTGCGCAGGCTTCTCATTGCGGTGGCTTCTCTTGTTGCAGAGCATGGGCTCTAGGTGCGCGGACTTCAGTAGTTGTGGCATGCGGGTGCTAGAGCGCAGGCTCAGTAGTTGTGGCGCACTGGCTTAGTTGCTCCGCGGCACATGGGATCTTCCCGGACCAGGGCTCGAACCCGTGTCCCCTGCATTGGCAGGCGGATTCTTAACCACTGCGCCACCAGGGAAGCCCTGTCTGGCTTTTTTTAATCAGTATTATTTTAGTGAGATTCACCTATGGTGCATATTGTAAAAATTCGTTCATTTTTATATAGTAATTCCAACATTCCCTTCTATAAATATTCCACAACAGCGGCATGGGACAGAGGCAGGAGCGCAATCTGCCCCAGACGCAGGTAATAAGGAGATGTAGTCTCATTCTCTCTCCTCCCTTTCTACCCAGAGGCAACCCCTTTCATGAAGTAGTATAATTTTACGATATAGGGCATTAATTTTTTTAAATGTATCAAACAGTGCATATTATTTTGCAAACTTGTTTCTTTCACTCAGCAGTGTTTTTTGAAGATTTACTCAGTGGATACAGGTAGCTTCTGCATCCGGTTTACTCATTTTAACTGCTACATGAGATCTCACTGCATGCACGTGCCATCATCTAACTATTCTACTTACGGACATTTGGTTATTTCTTAATTTTCTGGTATCCCTCATCAGGCTGCTGTTGTACATGTCTCCTTGTGTACACATACAAGTTTCTCTCAAGTAGATCCTTAGAAATGGAATTTGGGGTCACGGGCTACATGCATTTTCAGCTTTCTCAGTACCTGCCATATTGCTGTCTATAGAGGCTTTTATTAGTTTGACATCCCTCCAGCAATGTGTAAGACGTGCCAGATTCACCTCTTTCCTGGTGTCACCTCTTTTAATCGTATTTGCCAGTCTGGTCTGAAATGGTATTATCTGTGGTTGTATTTCACATTTCCTTATTTTCCAGTAAAGTTGAACATAATTCCTTTTTTAAAAAAAATTTATTTCATTTATTTTTGGCTGTGTTGGGTCTTCGTTGCTGTGCACGGGCTACCTCTAGTTGCGGCGAGCAGTGATTACTCTTTATTGCGGTGCGCGGGCTTCTCATTGCGGTGGCTTCTCTTGTCGTGGAGCACAGGCTCTAGGCGCGCGGGCTTCAGTAGTTGTGGCGCACGGGCTTAGTTGCTCCGTGGCGTGTGGGATCTTCCCGGGCCAGGGCTCGAACCCATGTCCCTTGCATTGGCAGGCAGATTATTAACCATTGTGCCACCAGGGAAGCCTGAACATTTCTTTTTGCTCTTCAGGTCTCCTCTTCTGTGAACTGCCTGTTTATACCCTTTGCCCAATTTTCAACTGGATGTATGTTCTCAACATGAATCCTTGTTATATATGTCGCAATGTCTTTCTACTCTCTCACCTTGTCGTTAACTTTTACGGTATTTTTGGTCATTGTTTTTCACTTTTTATTTTGAAATAGGCAAGTTTGCTTATGGCTTGTGCTCTTTGTGTCAAGAAATGCTCTCCTGTGTTTAATTTTCCTTTAAAAAATATGGCTCCTTAGGCAAATGGATTTGGATCACTTAGAATCTTGGTGCACGACGGTGGCCTAACTGTGCTTCCACCCCATCCTGTCCCCTGCCCTCCCCAGACTAACTCCTATCCTGAAAGCTGGGTTTGTCACACGCATACACAGGCCCACACGTTCCATTTACTGGCTTTTGAACTAAGGGCGTTAGACAGATTTTCTTCACTCGACGTCACTATTGATCCACCCATGGCGTGCACGGTGCATGCCGAGCCGCAGTGGATGCACTGTCACTGCTGTGTAACACTGCGTTGTGCAGCTTTGCTCCTGATCCATTTTCCTGATGGCCTGTGAGTCACTTCTAGGTTCCTGCCATCAAACAGTGCTGCTAGGAGTGCCTTCCGCCATGCTTCCTGGGGGGTTTCCAGTCTGAGCTTTTAGAATGGAATTGATAGTTTGTGAGCTCCTGGCCCATAGCTGAGCTCCTTTTAGTGGGAATAGCCTGGTGCTGAGCAGGCCTTCGTATGTGGGGGTCACAGGCTGCCCAGGCAAAGGCATCTGTGATCTTGCAGACCCCAAATCACAGTGCTCAGGCACCTGGAGCATGGGCGGGGCACCCTCCTCAGTCCCAGGGTCCCAGGAGTCAGGCACTGCCGACCTGTTGTAAGGTTAAGGAAACGAGATCTGTGCTGCTTCTCTCAGTCTGATCTGAAGCTTGGACCCGCATTAGCTAGGAAGGAACAAGGGCCAGCCCTGGGTGGCCTGGAGGGAAGGAACACCCAGGCCAGAAAACCTTGGACAGACCCCTATTCGGCTCCAAGCTGCAGTTTCTCCGTCTCTCAGATATCACCTGTGAAAAGTCCTGTTTGAACCTCAAGACTCAGCTCTCGCACCCCTCACTCTTGAAGGCTTCTCTGACCTCACTGCCCACAGTCCCCACTCTGGGCCACACATGGTCTCCTGCACCAGGCTGGGAGCTCTCCGAGGGCTGCACCTGCAGCCCCAGAGCTCAAAACAGGGCCAGGCAAGGAGATGGGGGTGGAGTTGGTCGGACCTCCACCTGCTTTATCAGCTGGGAGGAGGGGAGGGCAAGGGCCTGGACATCGCTTCTGACACCCGGCCTAGAAAGATGCTGGAGTAGTCTGTGGCCAATAAAGACACACTGCCCCCTAAAAAACGTCGGAGGGACCTCTCTGTTCCTGTGCCTGCTGTCTAGGAGGGGCAGTAAGAAGTGCTGGGCTATCCTCACACCGCTGTGGCAGCCGGAGGGGAAGACCCCAGGGGTGGTGCCCTCCACTCTGGGCCCCGTGGCGGCTTCCCAGGCAGGCCCAGGGGCCCCTGCCTGTGCAGCCAGCAGGGCCTGTGGCAAACTGTGGACACCGTCCAGCTCAGCCAGGCCCACCAATGGGGCAATGAAGGGGCCAGTGGAGCAGCAGCCCAGAGGTCGGGTAAAGGGTGAAGTGGGGCCAGGCAGGTGAGACAGGCCGCAACTCAGATCCTCCCCTGCCCGGAGCAGGAGTCCCACCACCCTCCCCGACCCCTATGAGTCGCTGCCCCTCCTGGGTACCACACGCCCAGCTGTCCCATGGGAGCCGGCATGCCCACAACAGAGGAAGCATCCAGGTCTGCCCCAGGTCATGACACAGGGCTGGCCCGGCAGCTCTTCTGCAAGATGGACTGCCCCCCTACTACAGACCAAGATGGGGTCACAGTGGCCATGCTGAGGTGGGACCCCAGGCACCAAGGCCTTGAGAACAGCCCACTTTAGGTGAAAAGCTTCTCAAGTCTCCGCTGCTGCTACACATGACTTTATTTGTGAAGCCCCGGGCACAGCCCAGACACACAAAGAGCATGAAAGGAAGCACAGGTGTCACAGGGCATGCCCAGCCCCCACCCGGCCCCTGCCCCAGATCCTTAAGGGTGCCCAAGATGCAGCTCAGGCATCAGTGGGCCCTGGCCCTGCCCCCCCAGGCTGGAGAACAGGTTTGGGCCTGCCCAGATGCCCCCTCCAGCTCAGCACGCAGGCCTGTCACAGACACTTCCGCAGCCAGAGAAGGGCCCACTGGGCACAGAGCCGGCACCGTCCAGGCAAGTCCAGCTCCTAGACCCTAGCGTCTGCCCACTGGCTTCTCTTCCTGTCCACACGGTGTGGGTGCCAGGGTCTTGCCCTCTGCTCGCGGCCCCACGCACAGCAGTCTCTGGCCCTCGGGCTGAGGGCTCAGCACAGCGTGGGTGGATGGTAGGAAAAGTGGCGGCTGCGGGACCGGGACTTGGCGACAGGAAGCAGAAGCAGCCATCGGGTGAGCAGCCCCAGGCAGGGCAGGAAACACCCAGCCACAACACGGAGGGAACAGCACACGGACAGCGACACCCCAGGCTTTGGCGCAGCCCCAGAGGATCAGGAAGGCAAGGTGGGTGGGGACAGCCACCAGGGCCTGGCGCCTGCAGCACAGATCAGCAGAGCGTCCTCAGATGGCGGTGACTTTAATGGCAGAGCAGCCTGCAGCCCTTCCGCCTGGGGGCCAGCTCCCCTCCAGCGGGACCAGGGCCAGTCCAGCAGGGAGACGTTAAAAATCCGAACCCCGACACGAAGCACACACCTGCACATACGCCGCACCAACACACGTACTCAGGAGACACGACACACGCGACAAAGACCCTCCCTCCTGCTGGCCAGAGTCCTTCCTCTGAGTCCCTTCCCAAGGCACCGGTCCAGGCCGAGGGATGGGGAGAGACCAGATAGCGTCTAGACCTTGTAGAGCGTCTGCAGTAGATTGTGGCGGGCAAAGGAGCAGGATTCCAGGGCGCCATTGGGCCTGCGGGGAAAGAAGGGTCACCAGGTGGGGCAGGCACCTCTGGGGGCCAGGAAGCTCAGGCTACATCAGGGCCAGTTTCCCACCTGTGAAGATGGAGTGGGGGCCGTTTCTGAGGTCAAA